TTTCAAAAGAAGGATACATAAATAAGAAAAAGAAAAATAGACAAAAAATATACAAAATACAAAAAAATAACAATTAAAAACAATTCCATCTTTTCATCGCTTCTCTTTCATTTACTTGTTTCCCGGACCTCCTCATACCTCCCTTTTTTGTATTCCAGTTCAATTTATTAGTTCAGCAATTCCTTTCCCTCCTTTTTAATCCTGATCTTTAATCTTAATATATTATAGCGTATTTAAAATCCAATTTTTCCATATTCTTTTATACCATTACAGCTAGAAACCACTTAACTTCAATCCAACATCATTCTAACGAGAAGAGGCTGTTTGAGCTCTTGTGCTCGAATCCTTGCAGGTTTCCTGCAGGCATCTTGGTTGGCCTCTGTGAGAACAGGATGATGGACTAGATGGGCCATTGGCCGGATCCAGCAGACTTACAAATTCTCTCATGTTCTTGCGGTGTGTTTGCAGCTCTTGTCTTTGCCCCAAGGACTCTCCAGTTATGTTTGCTGCAACCGGCTTAGGCTGTACATCATCATCATCATTATTATTATACTGCTGCTACTACTACTAAACAAAGTAACAACCATAAATAAATGGTAACAAACAAAGTAACAATCATAAATAAATAAGGAAAAAAATGTGCACCCCACCACCGAGACCATTCCATTGTAACTATCCAAGCTCCCAAAATTTCAACACCTCTTGCGATAGTTTGACCCCTTTCCATTTTAACAGTACAAATTCTACAAACACCCTCCCTATCTCCTCAAAATCATTTCTCCTGCATATTCCCCATCTTACCTTAATGGCACATGTTAATTTATCATTAATAGCTATACCCCACACCTTTTTATACCATTCTTCCATTTTATATTCTGCTTGCCCCTTCCACTTCCCAGCTACAGTGGTACCTCGGTTTACAAACAGCCCTGTTAACGAACTATTTGGTTTACGAACTCTGCAAAACCGGAAGTAGGTGTCCGGTTTGCGAACTTTACCTCAATCTGCGAATGGAAGCTGAACGATGGAAGGGCACCGGCGGCGGGAGGCCTCATTGGGGAAAGCGCGCCTCGGTTTAAGAACGGTTTTGGTTTAAGAACGGACTTCCGGAATGGATTAAGTTCCTAAACCGAGATACCACTGTATTACAATTTGTGCAGCTGTCAATAAATTTGTGAGCAAATCCTTCATAGCCATCCCATCGTAAATTGAGGCTGTACATTTAAACCAGGGAGTTGGCATCGCTCCCATTGAGTGCAATGGGATTTACTTCTGAGTCAACATGCACTCCATCCCAGAATAACCTCTGCACCCTCCTTGTGTGAATAGGTCCTTGGTCTCCGGCTGAGAAGGGCTCTTCACTCCAGCAGAGCAAGTGAGCACAGCTGGGATCGGAAAGCCAAACAAATGCCATTGTTGTTGCTTTTCCCTGAAATCGGGGCCAGATGTTTAACTGGGAGGGCAGTTTACCAGCGATTGGACAGCGAGCCAAGAACGGAGGGAGTAGCTTTGTTGCTCTGCTTGCAGATCAAGCCCAGATGGCAGAGCCCAGATGACAGAGCAGAGCAGAGTGGAGATCCCACAACGGCGAGTCCTGTAAAAAGGAGATGCTAACTAAGAGAAGGAAAATGTATTTGTTGTACTTATAGCATGTTTCTGGAACAGCACAGTCCACATTCATTCATCCTGGAGTTTTTGGGGAATCACTGACCCAATTTTAAACCCATTAGAGCAGTCTTCCCCAAATGGGTATCTCCCCAAATGTTTTGACCCACACCTGTAGTTTCTTATGATCGCTGAGAGGTGTCAGGTGACTCTTAACCAATTACAACCCCCAGGCTGCTTCAGAAGGGGAAGCTTCTGTTAAAGTGGGGGTAGCAGTGCTTTAAATGTGGGGCGTGCCTGTGGACTTTTGCCAATAAGGCACGCAAAAGGATTTGGTCCAAAAGGAGCTCCCTGCCAACAGAAACAGAGAATGTCAGGGAGGAGGCAACCTTGAAGAGCTAGTTTTCTGTGTGCAGGTGGATCATTCAAACGCGCCCAGCTCAATCCTGCACATGTTTGCTTGAACGCAAGTCCTGCTGAATTCAGCAGGGCAGTCAGGGCTCACCCACACTTTGGCAAACCCAGACACACTTGTGAAAACCCGATCTCACCTGCTGAATTGAAGCTAGGTTCCGCAAAATCTCTCTTTGGATTTTCTGTGCATCTGATAGGATTGCCTTACTATGTTTTTCAGTTTTGGGGAAGCTGCCCAGTCTGATAGGCAGGGTACTATTATTATTATTATTATTATTATTATTATTATTATTATTAGACAGTGGTACCTCAGGTTACAGACGCTTCAGGTTACAGACTGCGCTAACCCAGAAATAGTACCTCGGGTTAAGAACTTTGCTTCAGGATGAGAACAGAAATTGTGCAGCGGCAGCAGGAGGCCCCATTAGCTAAAGTGGTGCTTCAGGTTAAGAATAGTTTCAGGTTAAGAACAGACCTCCAGAACGAATTAAGTTCTTAACCCGAGGTACCACTGTATTCAGTTTTATAATCTGTTTCTTCGGTCAATGTTTGGCTGTGAAGATGATCAGTGCGTAAAAAGGAAAAGGCCGCTGGGTTTTTGCAAGGTACAGCCATGGGACGATGAGCTACTTATAAGGAAACAAGGCATAAGCATGGATTGTGCAAATGCAGAAAGTGTTGGCAGGGAGAGGTATGTGCACAGAATCCTCGTTGCACAGATCCCCTCTTCCCTCCAACCTTCTGTGTGCATTGGGAGAGAAGTCTGCGAAGCGATGCTCAGTGTGCTCACTTGGACATCTGTAAAACACGTGATCAGGGGCCTTGATAAAGCAGTTTCAGCATTTGTGTGCTCTTAGCTTGCCTCCCTATTTCCACCTCTCAAATGCACGCCTTTCTCGCGTCCTGCTGTCACCTTCAGCCAAACAGGTTCCGCTGCCTTTTGCAAAACCTCGCAACGCCCGTTTACCCGAGTCCAGTTTAACTCTATCTACATGCTGCTTTTCCACGGCAAACTATGCGGGAAATGTCCTGCAGTAAACATTACTGCGACACCCTCCCACCAGATGTCAAAGAGAAAAATAACCACCAAACCTTTAGAAGGCAGCCCTGTTTAGGGAAGCTTTTCATGTTTAATAGGTTATTGTATTTTAGTGTTTTGTTGGAAGCTGCCCAGAGTGGCTGGGGGGACCCAGCCAGATGGGCGGGGTATACATACATTATTATTATTATTATTATTATTATTATTATTATTAGCTTGCCATCAGAATGTATCTACACCCATTGATTTGTCTCGCTTGTGCCCTGCCTTTGTCCATGCAAGGCGGCTCACAACGTACATTAACACGGATGCATCTGAAAACAAACAACAACCAATTGAAAACAATTAAACGAACCTATTGAAAGCAGTGCCGGAATGACTTAGATTCATTTTTAAAACACACACGAAGAAGAGCGCCCCTAGAAAACCCTCTCGCAGCAGCCAGTTCGCCACCAAAGGGCTGTTGGAACAAAAAATGTCTTTGCTGGCTGGTTGGCGAGAGCAAAGCAGTGAGGGCAAAATGACTCTTGCCCAAGTCTTTCAAGGCTCCGCTTTTGCAGAGGCTGTGGAAGGGAGTTCCACTGTCTAGGAGCAGCCACCAAGAAGGCCCTGTCTTGTGTCCTCACCAAACGTGTCTGTGAAGGTGGCAGTGTTGCAGGCAAAAAAAGCCCATACAGTGGCACCTCAAGTTACATACGCTTCAGGTTACAGACTCCGCTAACCCAGAAATAGTGCTTCAGGTTAAGAACTTTGCTTCAGGATGAGAACAGAAATTGTGCTCCGGCGGCACAGCGGCAGCAGGAGGCCCCATTAGCTAAAGTGGTGCTTCAGGTTAAGAACAGTTTCAGGTTAAGAACGGACCTCCGGAACGAATTGAGTACTTAAACCGAGGTACCACTGTAGTTCCTGGGTCTTGCCAAAAAAACTCAGGAGCCAGGAAGAGATAGAGTCCAATGATTTTATTACTTTGCAAACCAATAAGTTCAGCGGGATCACTTCCACAAAGGCTGAACCCTTACAGGCGTTTACTTACAGGTTTCTTACACAAAGCGTTAAAATTTCCTCCAATCATACATAGAAACCTTTCTCATTAACTCATTCAAGGAAGAAAACTAGCTGTTGTTAACCAAAACTCATTTAGATACATTTCACTTCTAGCATAAGTGCTGACATTTGCTGACATAGCTTTAATTCACTGCCTGGCCTTCACATAAATACATTTTGTTGCAAAAGCTGTTGCGCTTTGCATTGTGTGCGCTGTGAACCTGCGTGTGTAGCAACTTGTGTTCTCGCTGTAAGAGTAAAGGTTTTGCCAGCAGTTTCTTAAAGAGCTGTCATTTTTGAGGCCCTTGGCGTCCGTCTGCCCCCCACCGCAGGAGTGAGAAATGGGCCTTCTCAGAAAATCTCAAAGCCTGGGCAGGCTCCTTTGGGGGAATACAGAGCTTCCGATAGACCTGCATTTATTATAAAAGTGTATTATAATATGAGGTAGACTTGTGGGGTTCTGTGGGGAACAATATCGGGTGGGGAAGGGACTTTCTCGAAGGGCCGCCTTCTCGTCCTAAACTGGCAATAATCCCCTCCTTCAGGGTGGGATGGTAACCATTCGCTGCTCAAATTCACCACATTTTTTTAAATAACAATTTATTGAATTTCCAAATATAACAACAAAAACCATAATTTTGACTGAACATTAACCATATTTTTTTTGCTCTGTTACTTCGGTCGCTGTTTGGCTGTGAAGATGCTAAGTGTGAAAAAAGAAAAGGCTTATGCCTTGTTTCCTTATAAATAGCACCTCATTGATAGCCTCAGTCAGGAAATGGCTAGGAAACCAATATTTTAGCACGGCACAAAATTACTGTCATTTGAGCTGGTGAAGAGCTTCATAAGAATTATTTATTTTATTTCTTCAGTTATTCAGCAGTACGTTTTTAGGAGAACTCTGGTGGCTCGGTTGGCAGAGCGTGAGACACTTCATCTCAGGGTTGTGGGTTCGAGATTCCTGCATTGCAGGGGGTTGGGCTGGATGACCGTCAGGGTCCCTTTCAACTCTATGATTCTATGTCCTTTTTTTGGCAAATTCCAAACATGTGCTGTGCGGCAGCATGTATTGTGGTTCCTCAGCAGCCAGGAACTCTGCACATGCTCAGAGATGTCATTCTTGTGCAGACGGTGTGAAAAGAAGCCTCAGATTTATTTATTGTGACAGTGTGCAATGTTTTTAATTCCAGGACGTTGTGCAGACACTGTCACCACACGTTTGCTCGCACAAACGAGTGTGACAATCTAGAACAATTTGAAAGGGGGTGGGGAGGAGATAGACTCTGTAATAAACGAAAATCTGCCCTTATTCCCTTATGGGGGACACAAGAGCCCTTGTAGAGTCCTTTGTAGGTTCTCCATTGGTCAGAGAAAATAACAGAGGCCAACCAGAGAATATTGAGAAGCAAAGCAGCTCGTAAGCCTGATCTTTATTGATCTGTTGCAACAGGGTGGCCCCTCACACGCAGGAAAGGAGGAGGACCCAGAACCAAGGTGTGCCTATCCTTATATAGACATTTCAAATTGCCTGCCCTGGAGTCCAAGACCACCCCCAGAAACATCATACCTACATCACAGAAAGGGCGGTCTACAGCAGAAATCTGAGTGCGTTGTTTACCTCCTGTCTGGCAGGTTACCTGTTAATGCTCACTTGATTGGATACCCTGGGGAGTCTGGCCAGTCTTTTGTAATGATAAATACTTAGTTCCTGAGCCAGGTCACAGGCTCACACCCTATTCATACACAGACATACCCTTAAGACAGGATTTGTGAACAAAAAGACAATGGGGAGGCTTTTCCATTCTCTTTTGACTTTGCAGAGAAAACATTTGGTACAGTTTGGGAGCCAAAATAGCTTCATGGCTGTTTTCCTGTGCTGCTTCAGATATGTGGTTTATATATTTATGTACGTGTTTGCTTGGTACATTGATGAACATTTATTATATATATAAGACCTTTTTAAAATTTTATTTCAATATATACATGTGGAATACTTGTTGTTTTCCAAGCGGAGAAATCTTTCATTTTAAAATGCCTGCAAACACTGAAACTTTTAATGGTGCAAAGGAGAAGTCTGGGCAGGGCAACAGAGCCCACAGGATGTGGCGTCACCTCCGGGCACCAGCAAGGCATGGCACCGCTGGGTGCAAAAACAGGCAGGAAGAGAGGGTCCGATTCGAGCCTCCTCTGCCTGCAACTCTTCGCTGTCACTTTCATTTGAGACGCCACCTGCATTTGCTGGAATTGCAGCGTCTCTGGCAGCTTCCAACCAGTTTTCTTCACCTTGGACCCAGGTACAAGCCGTCTCTGTGTGTGTGCCAGGGTTTGTGCCAAAGAGGGTACCCCCGGCTGCTTTAGAAAGCCCGGCTGTTGTGGGCATGGGATGAGGCATCCCTCAAACACTACGTGCAAACACTCTTTTCTGGGGAGGTCTTTCACCCTCAAGATACTAGTCCTTCGTGTTTTTGTCTGTTTTCAAGACACAAAACCCAGCAGGTTTTCTTATGGATTGATTTGATCAGGGGTCGGTTTGGGAGCAGCAGCGGGCACCGTCAAACCCCATGGGAAGCTTGGAGGTCTGGGAGGGGCAGCATGCGGAAATGGTCTCCCTCGCAAGGTTGCTGTGAGGATGAAATGGGGAGAGGGAGAACCGCGTGAGCTTCCTTGAGCTCCATGGAGGGAAAGGCAGGATATAAATTTGACAAATAAAGGTCCTCAAAAACGAGGCCTGGAAAATGGGTGGGGGCCGTCCGAGAGGTGACGCGCTGCGAGTGAAAAGGCCTCGCCATCCGCCTCTCCACAGAAGTTGAGAGAGGACCGTTGGGATCAATAGGATTTGTTTTGGGAGGAAGAGTCCAGAGGCGCTGAATCATTTGGTGTCCCCTAGGAATTATTTCCCCCTTCTCCCCATTTTTTTATTTTCAAAAAAGTTACTAAGAATCATTTTTATATTTATTTATGCTGTTTATTCAAAACATTTCTCCTCCTACTCTTCAGCCGGAAAGGCTCCAACAATGGCTTATGTATTTGTACGAGTAGCAGCCCCTACCCTGAGGCTCGCACTCTAAAAAGACACGGCATGAAAGGAAAGAGCAATGGGGAGGGAAGAGGAATACAAGCAAACTTGGCAGCCGATGGTTAATGTTAGCATGTGTATCTTTGTGTGTGTGTGTTATGTAAGCGTATTTGTGAGCCAGTGTCTCTAGTGACTAAGAGATCTGGTTATAGATCTGGGATACAGTATCTTTATCGCCATGAGCTTGCTAGGTTGCCTTAGGCTGCAATTTGGATTCAGTGGGACATTTGTGAATAGGCGTGTACATCTAGGGTAGCGGATGCGGTCCCTGCACCTCCCATCAACCGCAGATAGCAAGCCTGTTGGCTGGAGACGGCACCACGTTGGCTAGCCCAGGCCACCCTCCCTCTCGGTCCATCTTCAGTAATGGGATAAAAGTACTGTTCTACGTTAAAAGGTTGTTGTAATGATTGCATCATGAGAATCTGTGAAGTGCTTTGAAGACTGGGTTGCGCCATGGAAGCTGAAGACTTGGACCCGTGGAGCTGATCCTTTGCAAAAAGTGCTCTCTAAGTGCTTTTGAGGGCCTTCTTAAATATAATAATAATAATAATAATAATAATAATAATTTTTTAATATATATATATATATATATATATATATATATATATATATATATATATCCCGCCCTCCCCAGCCAAAGCCAGGCTCAGAGTGGCTAACAACAATGAAAGTAACACAAATATAGTATTTCTGGATGAAATTGTACCACCCTGCTTCAAAAAAAAAGTGGGGGGGGGGAGGAATGCAAGATCTGGAACTGTGATGGTGGGCTGGGGGTGTTTGGAGATTAAAGGTAAAGGTAAAGGGACCCCTGACCATTAGGTCCAGTCGTGGCTGACTCTGGGGTTGTGGCACTCATCTTGCTTTATTGGCTGAGGGAGCCGGCGTACAGCTTCCGGGTCATGTGGCCAGCATGACTAAGCCGCTTCTGGCGAACCAGAGCAGCGCACGGAAACGCCGTTTACCTTCCCACCGGAGCCGTACCTACTTGCACTTTGAGGTGCTTTTGAACTGCTAGGTTGGCAGGAGCTGGGACCGAGCAACGGGAGCTCACCCCATCGCGGGGATTCAAACTGCTGACCTTCTGATCAGCAAGTCCTAGGCTCTGTGGTTTAACCCACAGCGCCAGCACCTTTAATTCTCCGAAGGGCTGTGTGAGATGGAAGCCGGAGCCAGTGGCGTAGCGTGGGGGGTGCAGGGGGGGCCGGCCGCACCGGGCGCAACATCTGGGGAGGGGCGCGCTCGCACTCGCCGCTCTCTGCCCCTACCTAAAATCCACGGGTTAGGGGGCGCAAATTACTTGCCTTGCCCCGGGTGCTGACAACCCACGCTACGCCACTGGCCGGAGCAAGGTTTTCTATGCTGCTCCAGGGTGGTACCTGAACCAACATATTCAGATTGCAAGAATGGCGATTCTGACTCAACATTCGGAAGGGCTTCTGACAGTGAGCCATTCAATTGTGGAAAGGCCTACCTTGGAAGGTGGTCGACTCATTTACGGAAAGCTGTAGGCCACCTGCCAGGGATTTTTCAGCCATGATTCCTGCATTGCAGGGGGTTGGACTAGATGTCCCTTGGGGGACCCTTCCGTCTCTACAGCACTGACTCTTGTTCCTGTACGTCGTCGTCTTTGCTTCCTCCGTGGCTCCTTCCTCTCCTCCATCTCCGCCACCCTACCTGCGCCTTCCCTGCCTGCCCTTTCTGGCCACCATCGCTTCTCCAGACGGTCTGCAGAGAGAGAGACCCCCAAAAAACCACGGCTTCCTCCCCAGCAGCCCCATTTCCCACCGAGCGGGGCTCGCGGGACTCTTCTTCCTCCCACCGTGATGCGAAATCCAGACTCCTTTTGGCCGGGATTCCTTCCGGCCCCCGACTCCGCTGGCAGACTCCCGGGGACCATGCCGCAAATGTGGAATCGTTCAGAGCGAGAACAGAAGGCCTTTCTGTGAGCCACACGTTCCTCTGGGAAGCTGGCCAGGAGACCTATTACTGTCCATTAAGCAGGGCTGGGGGGCTAATGGGGTTTCGGCTGCCCCCTGGGAAAGGCCAGGCCCAGGTCTCTGTCCGACCCGTTTGTGACAGCAGTGGGAGATAGTCGGACGAGGAACCTTGACTATAAGCTGGCTGGTTCCAACCCTCCTGAAAGGGGCTTCTGGTCTTATCCTCCCCCCAGCTCTCTCCCATCCCTGGACAAAGCCACGCTCTGTTTAAATGATTAACTTCCGCACACAAAAACAGGGGTGTTTAAACTTCCAGATCGCCTTCGGATCCCCGCGGTGGATGCACCAAGCAGTGCAGGAAGATGCCTCGCGTTGCGGCCACCGGACTTGGTTCCCAAGCTTTCTGGGGCCACCCTCCCCCTTGCTTGGTCCCTTAAACACCCCCAGTGCCCCCTCCCTCGCCTATGAAAAAGCATTGCTCAGATTTGTGGGTTCGCACAGCCCACGAAGGAAGATCATAATGTTTAGTAGGTTATTGCATTTTCGTGTTCTGTTGGAAGCTGCCCAGAGTGGCTGGGGAAACCCAGCCAGATGGGCGGAGTATAAATAATAAATTATTATTATTATTATTATTATTATTATTATTATTTTATTATTAACACAACAAGGTTCAGTTACAGTAGCAGCTGATGGCCCATTTATCCAAAATCCAGTTAAAACTGCCGTATTTTTTGCTCTATAACACACACCAGACCATAACACGCACGTAGTTTTTAGAGGAGGAAAACCAGAAAAAAAATATTCTAAACGAAACCGTGGATGTATGATTTTTGTGGTTCATGCTGTGGCCACAGACATGTGATCTGACAGTGAGTTTGGAGTAGCCCAATGCAAAAATCCTGAGGATCCATGTGGATCCATGCTTTGTAACCACGTTTTTGCACCACTGCGGCCCCA